GTGGCATGGGCAGTGTAGGGTGTAGCGACACACGATAAGGTCTCTTTGCTTCTTTTGTGGATTTGCAGTTGTATTCCTTGTGATTGCAGGCCTTTGGTCTTTTTTGACTTGAATAGGTCTTAGTTTCATTTAGGTTCTTAGATTTTCTAAAAAGTAAATTGGGACAAGGGTCAAATATGCTCTTCAACTATAGGTCAAAGTGTAATTAACCTTTAAATTTGTAAAAGTTTCAATTAGACACTTTAACTTTTCATTTTTATTCAATTAAGTTAAGAAAAAAAATCATTTTAAGTCTCTCAAGTATAATACATGTATCAATTTTAGTCTTTTACTATTAAAATTTTCAAATTAAGTGCATGAATATTCACTTTGTATCACATTTGGTCCTTGATTATTAACATTTTCAAATTAGGTGCATGACTATTGAATTTGTATCACATTTAGTCCTGATGTTAAATTTTTTGGCCAAATTTCTGGTCAAGTCACCTGTGACCGATTAATTTATTTAATTTTTATTTTAAAAATTATTTTAATCAAATGGATGAATAAAGTGTCATTAATGTATCAACATGTTAACAACCCGAGACAATAAACCTCGGGCACTAATTGATGACATAATTCAATGAAGCATATAATTAGAGATTGACTAATTATGTAAATCCTTGCTTATTATATGGAGCATGTAATTAGGGATTGACTAATTATGTAATCACTAATTAATGCTCTTATCTTATTTTACATATGATAATAGATTATAAATAATGACTTATCTCTTAGAAAAGAGGGCATTGTTATTGGAACAATAACTCATAACTGTGGGCAAGAATTTATTCTCGATGAAGAGATATTCTTAGAATTCCCTTGTTTTCTTTCCTTTGTGTTTTACTTTATAACTCGTAATTGTGGCCAGCGGACCGGTCTTAGGTCCGCGGCTTCGGCGTCTTTTGGTCCCTTGCAGGAGCGCCTTGGCCGTTCGTCGACTATTGGGGAGCCTCAGCTTGGTTTGCCCAGTTATGATGGAGCACCCATGTGAGTGGTGGGCCGTTCAGCAGAGGGGCGGACTGCTCGAGCGGGCGGATTGCTCTAGCAGTTGGCGATTACCAGAACGGGCCTGTGACATGGCACGTGAGGAGGTATTTGGCGGGAGAGCACGACACTTATTGGTACACGCGTACAGTGAAGGAGGGCAGAGTATTGTGGTCCCCAAACCTATCATCGACGTAGTATTAAGGTGGGGAGGGTCTCCGTTCCAAGGGCATCATCATCATCTCTCCTTCTCTCTTGACTTCTCCTTCATTCAACAACGCAGTACGTCATTTGTCTCTACTGTCCGCTAGTTAGCAGTGTGGTTGGGCCGTTTAGACCAAATTCATTCCCTTTGTTTATTTAATACATTTGCAGCCCGTTTGTATTATTTCAAGGGCCTTGTGCCCTAGTAATTCAATACATATTTCGCACCCATTACCCGATACCAACCCAGTTTTATGGTAGGCCTAGTCCATTAAAAATCATTATTTGTGCCGTTTATGGAAACCGTGACGAAAATCATGTGTCCTTAACTTTACCCCATTTCAAAACTCGTTATCTATACTTGACCGTGAAATTCTATCCGACCCAACAATACGGACATGGCCAGCTCAAGGAGTCAGCACTCAAGGGACCTTCAGAGCAGCTTAGCTGGCCAGCACAAGGGGCGTCTCGATCCCAGAGGTCTAGCTCGCTGCCCCGCGAGGTCGGAGGGCCAACCAACACCTTTATATTGGAGGGAGGCGTGTTTCCAATGGGTAACAACTTGGACCCTAAGGAGGCGGGGCCAAGTAGGCCCAACATCCAACCGTTAGCCCAAGAGGTAGCCCAGATTATATGTATATGAATGACCCAATAAGCTAGGGACCCACCCAAGCAAGTGCGGGCGACGAAACCTGCTCCTAAGGCACCCCCGCCTCCTTGGTGACTAAGCACCCCCCTAGGTTGAGCCACCTTCGATATGGGAGAGGCTAGGGCCTCAAGGCCCGAGATCACAACCAAAAAGGGGTGTGAAGCGAAAGACACCCATTCGCGAGAACCTCACGGCGGGTCTAGAAGAAGCCATGGATGAAAGCACTGACCGAGCCCCACGTCATGGGCTCTTGGAGGCAAGAAGGACAATGCCGGAAACTCGGGCACGTATGCCAGGGGACTAGTCTTACAAGTAGAAAAGAGGCTCGAAGAGCTAGCCCAATGGAGGGGGAAATCGCCCATGGTCCCGAAGATAACGACCTCACCCTCATTCACAAGTTGGATCATAGAGGAGTCGCACTCACTAAACTTTAAAACCCCGAACGTGAAACGGTTCGATGGGGATGGGAAACCGTAGGAACACATTCTAGCCTATAAGGCAGCCATAATACTCATGTGAGTATCAGAGGCAATGATGTGTTGAACATTTTTCTCCACCTGCTGGGTGGTGGCCCAACATTGATTCACCAGGCTACCAACCGCGACAATCGATTCATTATACGACCTCGTAGTCAAATTCGTAACCCACTTCGTCTGGGGGAGAAAGACTAATAAGCATTTCTCCCACCTAGCCTTAGTAAAGCAGAAATCCGACGAGGCCCTCACCAACTTCTTATTACGGTGGTGAGTGGAAGTAGCCAAGGTCGAAGACATGGACGTGGACGACAAGTCCGCCATGGTATTATTTATGGAAGCTTTGAGGGCCGATGACCTATATAAAACCTTGAGGAGGAATGCGCCTGGTAATTATGTAGCCATGATGGCGAAGGCAGACCGTTACGCCAATGCAGAAGAAGCCAATCGGGCCAAGAAGAAAGCTGATGAGGGTTCGATCAAGAAACCAAAGGTAAAGGAATCCAATACGTCTGGGAAGAGAGTGATTGATCATCTCGTAGAGCGACCCCGAGATTGAGGCAGGCGAGCCTTCGAGGCTGGGCCACCGATCCCATGTGTGTCCCTAAGGATGTACCCTCATGTAGCTCCCGCACCGATAACATTAATCCCCCTAACTGGACGACCTAGCGAGGCATTGGCCTATGCGAAAGAGTGTAACATGGTGCGACCATCACCACCATTCGTCACAGAGTTTTTCGGACTCGATAAGTCAATGTATTGTGAATTCCACATGCGACATGGCCACGACATTGATGAGTGTCACACTTTAAAGCAGGAAATCAAATTCTTAATACAATCAGGGGAGTTAAAAAGTTTCATCGACTGGGAAAAATTGGCGAGAAGGAATGCATGGAACAAAGTGGACGATGACCCGCCATTGATGTTTCCTAGGAGAGAAGGAAGAGACTCGACTTGGAGGGTGGCGAAGAAAGGGAGGCAACCAATAATTGACTAGTACATAAGCATAGAGGAGCAAAAAAAAAAAGGTCGAATATGAATGCATGTAGGGAAGGCGGTAAAAAATCCTAGTTTGTTAAGCCTGAATGGAGGGAAGGCATCCCAACATGTCCACTTATAGGGAAGGCGGTGAAAAATCCTAATTGGGCGGACAACCCAATAGGTCCACATATAGGGAAGGCGGTGAAAAATCCTAGATGGGCCTGCATGGAGGGAAGGCAGCCCAACAAGTTCGCATGTAGGGAAGGTGGTGAAAAATCCTAGTTAGGTCTGCATGGAGGAAAGGCAGGCCAACTGGTTCGCATGTAGGGAAAGCAGTGAAAAATCCTAGTTGGGCCTGGATGGAGGAAAGACAACCCAACAGGTCCGCATGTAGGAAAGACAATGAAAAATCCTAGTTGGGCTTGCATGGAGGGAAGGCAGCCCAACAGGTCCGCGTGTGAGGAAGACAGTGAAAAATCCTAGTTGGGCTTGCATGGAGGGAAAAGCAACCCAACGGGCTTGCATGTAGGGGAGGCAATGAAAAATCCTAGTTGGGCCCGCACGGAGGGAATGCGACATTAAAAAAAATCTCTTTCTTTGTCTTGCAAGGAACGTGCGGGAGCTAAATCGTTCTAACGAACCGCATATAGGGAAAGCAGCAGGGACCAAGCTTTCCAAAAGAGAGGAGAACCTTTCGGTTCAGGAGTCTAGGGGGTCAATGTGGGAAAGAGTTTGTGGGCGTCTATACTTTCTTTGCCTATCAAAGGTAACCAAAGAAAGTGGGGGACTGATGGTGGCCCCAAGAGTACGACCCAAAGAATAATTAAACCAATTAGGAAAGTGGAGGTTTTTTTTTTTTTTTTTTTTTTTTTAATGGAAAGAGGACTAGTAGCGTGTTTGGCAGCGTGGTATGGGGCACGATTAGGGAAAACAATAGGTGATAGATCAGGTGCGGATGTTTTCTTAGGTGAAAAATAGTGTCTAATCTCATCCATTGATTCAGTATAGATCAAGGGTTCAGAATGAAGATATCTTTAAAAAAACACAACGCGGTGGCATTATGGTAATTTTGTGTAAGTAAGTTTATTTTTTTTTATTTTTTTATTTTTTGTCTTTCAGTGCATTTTTTTCCTTCTTGCAGAGTATAATGTTGTACCCTTCAGAATACAATGTTGTAACTTCCAGAACACACTGATGTGTCTTTCAGAGTACACTGATGTGCGGTTGGACACACATTAAGCATTAAACTGACACACTTTAAGTACACAACACACAAGACATTAAGCACACAAATAAAACACCTTAAGAACACAAACCTACGCACCTTAAGTACAAAACTCACGCACCTTAAGCACAAACCTCATGCACCTTAAGCACAAAACTCACGCACCTTAAATTTCAACAACTACTCACATTAAGCACAAAACTCACGCACCTTAATTACACAACTCACGCACCTTAAGCACAAAACTCATGCACCTTAAGTACAAAACTCACGACACCTTAAACACAAAACTCACACACCTTAAGTACAAAACTCACACACATTACTCACCGCACAACCGTACGAGAACTTAATTATATATATATATATATATATATTCGAATTAAAATGACCAAATTTGTAGATATTTATGGTATGCTTAGATTGTTTAAGAAAGTAAGATAGCATGAACTAAATATGAAAATGTAAACTTTGAAATGTCACATTTTGTTGGTTAGGTTGTATAACTTAACCAAACACTCCCTAAAATCTTTTGAAATTCTGCTTCTTGCCTCTCTGTAATAGAGAGGTCCTGCCCTGAGCAGAAGACCTATAGTGCTCCACAACGGCGAGTCGGCGACCAGGCGACGTAGCCCCGGTGCTCCACATACGGTAATCCGACAAGGCGACACTCTCCAATACGGTAATCCGACGTTGCTTAACTTGCTTTGTATATATTCTTTTCCTAATTTGGAGTTGATTAATGAATAGTTCAGTTTGACATTTGGAAGCCTACATTAAACAAAGCATTCCGATTTCTGAGTGTGATGTTCTGTGACAGTGTGCTGTGTACTTCAGTACTTGTGAATTTTGTGTATTTCATTTTTGTTGAATGATTGAATGAAGTTGTTTATTGTTAGACTGTTATGTGTCTGATGACAGTTGAAACTCGGAATTTAAAGAGTTTTAGTGATAAAATCATAAATTGATCAAGAGAAATTAGAACACTAAACTACATCCACTGCATCATTCATGATGGGGTAACTGAGGTAAGTCTGCAGTTTGTACTTGATATTATATATATAGTAATTTTTTGTAAGTTTGTATTGTGTAAGTGGAACCCAAGTGCTGCTCCTCAGTTTCTATCCTCACACCGCCGCACTACCACAGCCAATCCACTCAAGATATGTTTACTGATTTTGGATAACAATACTACTGAAGCTTGTGCTTTAATATGATTTTTCCTTGTGTTATATCCAGAGAGTGCTGGCAGGCAATGTATCTCTATATGTATGTTGAAGTGGTAGGGTTTAGAGAGTTGGAAAATAACTAATGTTTATTGATGTGATAATCACTGCAGCCTAGAAATAAGTATTTCAGCTGCACTGTGTGTAAGAAAATTCTTGTGGGGAGTGGGCCTGTGGCAGTGAGTTTATTAAATGTTCTAAATCTAATGACTGTCACTTGTTCAAATTATGTTATTATCTGCAATGTGGCAGATTTTTGAAAAATCGTTTTCTCACCCATGCAGTTTTATTGCATGAGAGACTCAAAGTTACTTCTGGCTAGGCAAAATCTTTTTCTCGCCTGTAGTTTCTTCTCTTCTTCAATTCAGACCTCTTGCTTATTGGGTTTTAGCTTTTGAGCTGTCTTTGAATCTTTGTATTTCTTACCCTTTGAAGGACATGAGAGAAATTGTGACAATCCAAGTTGGAAGCTATTCAAACTTCATTGGTTCTCACTTCTGGAATTTCCAGGTTTTTTTTTTTTTTCTCATCAATATATATATATATATATATATATATATAGCTTAATTTGTTCCATATGCTAATTGAACACAATTTTTTGCATCCATTTCCTTCAAACATATTTTTGTTCTCATATTTCTTAGTAAAAGAAACTTTCACTTTATAGATAGCAAAAGTCTGAATCTTGAGAATTTTTAGCCACCTTTGTTGTTGGTATTGGATTTATTTTTTCGTGATGGAGATATTCTCATTCTTTCTGGCTGTGGGTTTTATTGAAATTGTGAGATCTATCTTATTTTGAGTTTGTGCCATTTGCTAGTTGTTAGAGCAGTTTCTGGTGTGCATATTGTGGATTGATGAATTTTTGCATAATCATGAAGGATGAGTTGCATGGACTGGCCGAGAGTGATGAAGTGTTCAAGAATCATTCTCTTAATACTGATGTGCTCTATAGGAGTGGTGAAACACAACAGGTGACCATATCATGTCTAACTCTATGATGCGTTTTAATATGATCTCAAGTTTAGCTGTTATGACTTTATGTGTTTCATTTCAAAGTCATTTTTCTTGAAAATTCTGTTGCAGGGACTCCTTACCTATACCCCTCGATTGGTTTCAGTTGGTTTTCAAGGTAAACATTATGGACGTTTCATCATCTGTGAAATGATGAAAGGCAGTTAGATGATTACTCATGCAACAAAGTGTTTATTTCTCTCATTATTGATTTTACTTGGAGATCTATATACTCAACTTTTAAGTTAATGAACTTGTACAAAGAAAAATTTTGATTCACTAAAAGATTTTCATCCATACTTTTCAATAGCTAAATTCCTTGACATGTATTGTGCTTTAACTTGAAATCTCTACATTCTGAGTTATAACCTAATTTATGAATTGCTTTGCTTTGAATTTTTTTGTGAATCTTCTCAGTTCTCAATCCATGAATTTATAAGTGATTTTTATCTTCATATTTTTCCTTTGGTTGCTGCTAATACTATGGCTACATTTTATGTAGTTTAAAGGCATGATATATGTTATTGACTTTTACATTTTGCTGCTGAAATCACATTTTGACATTTAGATCTAATGATGCTGCCTGTATGAATTTGTGACGTGTCAGGGTCTCTTGGATCTATGAGTTCATGTGGAAATTTGTACAGTGAAAAGCCATCCCAAAGTTCGGATGTTCTAACATGGTGAGATCTTTAGCCTTTCTTTATAGTTTAATTCCTTGGCTTCATTGCTTATAAAAGCTTCTACTTAAACAATCATTCAACATAAGTGGAACAAGGTGTCCATGGCCCATGGGTACTATGAGTTCTTAAAAGTCTTGACCTTTGCACTCTTCTGTTTTTTAAAATTATTATTTAGATTATTGTTATTCTTGCTTGGATACTAATTACTCGTGCACTTATCTATAGGATTTAATGATTCTCTGAAAGTCTAAATGGATTTGAAATTAGTGTATGTTTTGAGAGTGGGATCATAAAAAGGATATTACTCCCTTTGTCCCATTTTACCTTATATGTTTATTATTCATTGGTCAAATCAACTCATTCTTCTTTGCTTATTTTCTTTACTATTTTACGGAGTATTATTTTAAAAATTTTGATTTTGTTTGTTAAATAGTACTTTCAATATAGTTTCTAAATATATAAATTTTATATATTAATACTAAAATGAAAAGTTGAATTGTAAATAACTTTAGTCAAGCCTCGTTAACCAAACCAGAAACATAAAGTGGGATGGAGGGAGTATGATATATGCTTGGACATGTAGTTTGTAATTCATAGTTTAAATTTGCCGTAACACCTGTTTGCCTCTTTAGTCAAATTGAGCATCTGCATACCAATGTGCAGGGCTGGTAAAGTTACAACTCAGGCCTCTGAGCCTTTAAAAAGGAATCTCTTCTTGCAAAGTTTATACATGGAAGAAAAGAATATGAATATGGTTGATGGTCCTGATGGCAGGGAGAGTGACTCCCACAATGAAATTCAGGACAAGGACATTGTTGAATGTTTAGAAAATGGTGTCCAGTACTGGACTGACTTCTCAAAAGTTCAATTTCATCCCCAAAGTTTGTATCAATTAAGCGGGTTATGGATGGATGCTCAAGAATTTAACTATGGCATTGGAAGGGATACATTCCACAACCATCAACGGGGAGAAGAATTAAATGAAAGGCTTCGTTTCTTCATTGAAGAGTGTGATCATATTCAGGTATTTCCTAGTTCCAACAGGTGATGCATCTTGCATTTTCTTTGTTGTCTCATAGACTCTTTCTTAATATGTACTATAAATGTCTAACTTTTGTAGGTGTCATATGCTTTGCTAGTCAAATATTTGAATCTATTTATTCTTAATAGAAGCAGAATTACTCTTAAACCTCCGGCCATTAGCAGTCACCTATACATTGATTATTGATAGATATTCATCTATTATCCTGCATCTTATCTTCCAGTCTCCTTATTTCATGTCTTCAAAGGATGATGACATGAATTCTGAATGTCAATTAAACTGGTATTTAAGCATCTTTCTTTCATGTTTAACAGTACAGTCTTTGTTGTAAAACTAGTGAATGTTTAATTGGACCAATGATCCAAACTCTGCTAGGATTAGGGGGTCCACCAAATTGCCAAAGAAGTGTTTGTTGGGATCATTCAGTCATTCTACAATCTGTAATACAGGGTGCACATAATTTTACTTTAAACCAAATCAACAAGCATTGTATGGAGTTTCATCAATTAAAATAACAATTTGAAACTTCAAAACAACTTGGTTGATTCTTTATTGTGGTAAAACTAGAGTTGCTAGAACATTTGTAGTATTGCCTTCCCTTTTCATTCATGATTCATCAATAATAGGCCAAATTACAGAACAACTTGTATGTACACTAGTGCTCCACTGATGCATGTTTTTATTCTGCTTTTGGACATGTGTCTTTTACTAGGGGGTACAATTCATAGTTGATGACTCTGGAGGCTTTTCTGGATTGGCTGCAGAGTTCTTGCAGAATATTGCAGATGACTATAGTAATGTACCTGTGTTGCTGTATACTGTACGGAGCCCTGGATCATTCGCTAATACTAAAAGCCAGAAGCTAAATATATCACAAAGTCTTCATAATGCAGTTTCATTTTCAAGGCTAGCATCCTTTTCTAAACTGATTGTCCCCATTGGTTTGTCTTCCTTGAGCGCAAGTAAGAATTGCAGAATGTCAATCACAAAAGAATAGTTCCTTTATTTTTCTCACCTTGATTTCTTCTATACTAGTAAAGTGTACTAATTTTCCTCACTGTTCATAATTCATAATTCTCTTTATCTAGCCTTTCTGGGTATGCTTTAAATTCTCATTTTATCTTTGACAGTGAAAGATGCTTCTCTTTACAATAGTTTTTCGCTAATAAATCTAGGTAAAGCATCCAGGCGTCTCTGCATTAAAGATGAACAGCCCTACTACACCAGTGCAGTTTATGCCTCTGCACTACATTCTTTGAGTCTTCCATTTCGAATGGAACATCCGGGTCCCACAGCAGAATCAATATATGCTTCTGGTGCTTTAAATATGTATGAAGTCATACACGTGTTAGCAGATCAAGCTAGGCAGAATATGGTTTCTACATTGGATGTGTCTATGCCAGCTCCTTCATTAACTGGTATTGCTCTCCCATTGTTAATTTTCTAAACTTATATAAGCATTCAATTATGCAATTCCTGACTGACTCTCAATTTGAAATTCTTTTGATAGGGAACCAGGTTCAGGGGTCTTTGCTTGACAATTTTGTGTCCTTGACCCCAGAGGTAGAACAAGACAATGAAGACATGCATGCCATGGAATGTATGACAATTCACGGAGTCCTAGGATCTGGTATTTTATAAGATCTTATGCTTCTAATGCCATTTTCCAATTTGAAATCTCAAGTGACCTTTAGTTTTGTACCATCTTTGGAGGTTGTTCATATATTACTGGTGCTCCTTTTTTTAATGTATTTTTATCAACATAGTGCCATTTGTTTTGTTTGATTCTTCCTAGCCTTATCTTAATGTAATAGCAATACAACATTCATTGCACTAGGGTTGGCCTTAGATTTAGGTTACTGAAAACAACAAATCATATTTCAGCAACCTTCTACTTTGATTTTCAGGAAGCCGGAGGGCACCTGTTTATGAAGTGAAGCGCACAGTTCAGGATGCTTATGAGAAAGCAATTTCAAGGCCCAAATTCTCACACCTATCAGTATCTTGCTGTCCTCTTCCTATACCATTGCCTTTTCCTGCCATCTTTGGGAATTCCATTGGCCAACACGGTGAGCTATTAGAGACACCTATTACTGAAACCCCATCAAGGGGGCCCCTTGAAGTCCATTCCATACCCATGGCATCGAGATTACGCTCTAGCACTGCCATTTTACCATTTTTGGAGAGCAGACTGGAAAACCTTCGGAAGTTGGGTATCCAGCGAGGAGCAATTGGGGCACAGGTTCTTGAAAGTTGGGGCTTTGGCAGAGATGAGGTAGAAGACTTGGGAGAGACACTGTCAAAACTGGTTAATACACTGAAACCTTATTCTGACATATCCTCTGATTCTGATTGATATACTGTTCTGCGTGTATTGTAGTTTGTTTTCTGATATCTGCTGAGTTAATGAAATTACAGTTGTCAAAGTGCGAATTCATTCTAACTTAGTCTCTCCACATCAATTTGATTGTACTCGAGTCTTGAAATTGATAAAATCTATATCCAACTAAAGTTCCAAAAGTCATGAAGATGGTGGTATATACATTTGTGCTTTATTCCGCGTATATTGGATAGATGAATATTTTATAATCTGCAGAATCATTGGAATATATAGATTGTAGAGGATGATTTGTCCGAATGGCATAAATGGTGTTAGGATTTGTGTGCATATATGAAGTCCATGCTAACAGATTATTGAGACGCAGAGAATGAAATGTTAATTTTGTGCTTTATTCAACGTATATTGCATTTATTGATATGCAGAGAGAGTGTTGTAGTTGCTTAATGTTTGATGTGGTAACAACAAACATGTATTGCCTTGTGACTTGTGGCCACAAAAAAGCCAAGAGGGTATTAGGGCTACTGTTATATTTACACTTTTGTAGTTGTGTACACAAATATATCAAATTCTATCTTTTGCGAACTATACCAAAGATGAAGCCGAAATTTTTTTAGGAGTAGAAAATTAGTTGGATTGTAAGATTAAAAGGCTTGTGGTGAATATGAAACATGTTTTTTTACAAAGTGTATGTGAAAAAACAAGGCATAATACATAGATTACATGGAAACTCTACCCCAATACTCCTCAACAAAATGACATAGCCAAAAAGAAAAACATTAAAGAAATGATGAATGTGATGCTTATTAGTTCAGATTATCCTAACTTCTTATGGGGGAAGCTGCTCTTATAGCTAATCATATTCTTAATAAAGTGCCTCTAAAGGTTCTTGGTAAAAATCCTTTTGAATTATAGAAAGGTTATGCCCCAAATTTGAATTATTTTAAAGTGTGGAGGTGCTTGGCTAAAGTAGGATTTTCATCTTTTAAGCGGTCAAATATTGATCTTAAAATTATAAATACTATGTTTATTGGGTATGCTGAAAACAATGCTGCTTATAGATTTATATGCTTAATTAGATAATCATGTTAAATTAAAGATGATGAGTTTTTTGAGCATATATTTCCTTAGAAAATGTTAATGAATGTAATGATTTGCCTTTAAATGATTTTTGTTTCATCATCATCAATGCCTCAATCTAAATTAGTGTCAGAGCAACCTAGAAGAAGAGGCTAAGAATGGAAGTTAGCTTTGGTAATGATTTTATTAACTTTTCTAACAGAGTTTTTTTTGAGAAAGAGAGACTTACTATTAAATCAAATCCGAAGATAAAACGTTACAAAGGAAAGGTGGCGGAGCAGAAAGCCACTCAGAACAACCAGGTCTAGAAACGGCATATCTAGCTATAGCATGAGCTACACCGTTCGCTGATCGCTTTACAAAGGATAAAAACACATGCGTAAAATCGCACATCACCTTTTTAATGTCACTAAGAATTACATGGAACGAAGATTCTCCATTGCATGACTTGAGACTATTGACCACTTGAAGAGAATCTGTCTCGACGATAAATTTGTCAGAGTTTAGACTTTTAATCCAACTCAGAGCTTCTCTAATCGCGGTAGCTTTAGCTTCTCTAGGTGAGAACACTCCATTCCATTGGGTTCCTTCGGCTGCCACAAAGGTTCCTTTATCGTCCCTGATTACACAGCCAAATCCCATCTTTCCGTTGGTCGAATCAATTGATGCATCGACATTTACTTTGAGGAAGCCTTCTTGAGGTTTTGATCACTTGATCTGCTTAGCAACCGTATCCACTTGATCTGTGTTGGGTGGTGAAATTGCTTCTCTCCAGTCTTGCAAGTATTTCTTGGCTTTAAAGACAATGGTTTCGGCACTTTGGATCCTCTTATTATTTCAGACCTTGTCGTTTCTCTGTCTCCATATTTCCCAGCAGGACATGATCACAATACATAGTTGGTTCCTAGACAAGGATGAAGCAAGAAGGGTAAACCAATCCTGGAAAGATGAAGCTTGGACATTGGTCGGTTGACAGCCAAGAATACTCCAACACTGTTTGGCGTGAATACAGTCCACAAACAGATGCCATGCAGTTTCGATATCCTGGTCACACAAGGGAGAACACACTCCACAGTTAACTCTTTTAGATCTAAGAAGGTCCCTAGTTGGCAGACAATTGGTGCACAACTGCCACATGAAGACTTTAATCTTAGGAGGGATTTTGAGTTTCCAAATGAGAGTCCACATCAGCCTGTCTTCCTCCCTCAAATCACCATTCACCACCTTATAACAGCTTTTCACAGTAAAACCTCCATCCTCTTCGGGTGCCCAGATTAGTTTGTTTTCCACATATTGTCTGCTTAGCGGAATTTTCTGTATCAAGTCGGCATCTCTATCAACAAAAATATCTCTTATAGTTTCCATATCCCAACGGCTACCATCGGCATCTTTTAGAACATCCACTGTAGCATTCTCTAGAAAAGGGTACGGGAAGGAGACAATTTTTGAATTGTCTTTATCTGGAAGCCAATTGTCCCCCCAGATTTTGATTTGATCACCTCTGCCTACCCTCCACCTAGTGTGTTTCCTCAAGACCTCCTGAGTTTCTAACAAGCTGCTCCATATGAATGACGGGTTAGAACATTTTTTGGCTTCAAAAAAGGTAGAAGTAGGATAGTATCTAGCTCTGTAAATCTTTGCCACCAAGGAGTCAGGATACTTGATTAACCTCCAAGCTTGTTTGCATAACATGGCTATTTTAAAATCTCTAAGGTTTCGGAATCCAAGACCCCCCCCCCCCTCCCCCAATTCTTATGAACACAGAGCTTTTTCCAGTTCTTCCAATGAATCCCCTTACTCTCAGTACCGCCCCCTTTCCACCAATAGTCATTCATTAGAACTTCCACCTCTTTAATAAGGTCTTTAGGAAGGAGGAACACTCCCATTGCATAAGAAGGGATAGCTTGAACAATACTTTTTAGAAGAATTTCCCTTCCAGATCTCAAGATGAATTTTTGGTTCCAACCCCGTATACGGCTGATCATCCTAGATTTAATGAAACCAAAAATTTGATTTTTGTTCCTTCCTACCATCATAGGTAAACCAAGGTAATTTCCACTGCCACCCTCACACCTAACACCCAGAATGTCTCCCACTCTATTCCTTATAGCCTCATCAACATTCCTACTAAAACAGAGAGATGATTTGTCAAAGTTGATAGATTGACCTGAAGCTGAGGAGTAACTGGCCAGAAGTTGCTTCAAATTGGAGGATTCTGTAGGATTTGCTTTGAAAAATATGTAGCTATCATCGGCGAAAAAAAGGTGAGACACTGCTGGAGCTGATCTAGCCACCGAGATACCATGGATTTTGCCGACATTCTCATAGCTCTTAATCAATGCAAACCCCTCCGCAACAATAAGAAATAAATACGGTGAAAGAGGGTCACCTTGTCTGAAACCTCTACTAGGGATAATGAGACCAATCTCGTTATTGTCTTTCAGAATATAATACATAGCAGAAGAGACACAATACATGATCATATCCACCCACCGCCTGTTAAAACCCATTTTCAACAATATAGATTTAAGCAAAGGCCACTCAACTCTGTCATAAGCCTTGCTCATATCGAGTTTGAGGGCACCAAATCCTTCCCGGCCTTGGGTTTTCCTTTTTAAGAAGTGCTGCATCTCATATGCCACCATGATATTATCCATAATCAACCTCCCGGGAACAAACGCACTTTGATTATCAGAAATCAGACCCCCCAGGATGGGTTTTAGCCTATTAGCCATGGCCTTAGTGACTATTTTGTACGCGACCGTGCAAAGGGCAATCGGTCTGAGGTCAGCCATTTTTTCAGGGGTGGCTTTCTTGGGGATAAGCACAATATGGGTATGATTTAGTCTCTTAGGGAATTGACCCGTCCTAAGGAACTCATTGCAAAGAGAGGTCAAGCTATCCCCAACTATATCCCAGTAACTTTGAAAAAAGCCAGGGTTTAATCCATCAATACCTGGGCTCTTGTCTGGATGCATCCCGAATGTAGCAGTTCTTACTTCCTCTCTAGTGAAGCCTCTCATCAAAACCTCATTCTGAGAATCTGAGACCCCCTTCCGGATTTCCTGGAGAACTGGAAATTGATTTCCACTAGAAGCAGTGAAGATATTAATGAAATAGTCCTTAATCAGCTTCTGAACGGCCTCCTCCTCTTGCACCCAATTCCTCGCATCATCGCGAAACCTCTTAATTGAATTGATACCCCAACGCTTGTTAACAGAGTTATGGAAGAACTTGGTATTGCAATCTCCCTCTTTTAACCAAAAAACTTTAGCACGTTGTTGCCAATAAAGATTTTGTTGGTTAAAGAGATGAAGTAAGGATTCCTGAACAGCAGAGAACTCTCAGATTGCATGGGCATCTTCTTTATCCCGGAGGAAATGTAATCTCGACTTGCATGCATCAATTCTAGACTGAAAATTTTTATGATAATTCTTTCCCCAATTCCATATATCCTCTCCGCACTTCTCAAATCTTGCACACAACTCTAAACCCATAGAACGATCCCAGCTGTAGTTGATGATCTCCCTGCATTTTGACTCTTTCACCCAGTAGTTTTCGAATCGGAAATGCCTCCTTCTACGCTTATAGACCGAGGGGATAGGCCAGATAGCGATTGGTAGGTGGTCACTTTGCAAAGCTTCGAAAGAAGTTGCCTTCGCTTCCCCAAACTGATCAACCCAGGAATTGTTAACCAAAATACGGTCTAGCTTCTCACGGATCCAGTGAGTAGTCCCTCTTCCCTTCTCCCAGGTGAACTGATAACCACTAAAACCAAAATTCCTCAGACCGCTTTGTTCCACTGCTTCTTCGAATCCCCTAATCAGCCACTGAGGTTGGGGTCTTCCTCCTACTTTCTCACATGGATTGAGGATATCATTGAAGTCCCTCATAACAATCCACGGTTGATTACCTTGGTTAGCCAGTGTTCTGAGAAGATTCCATGACAAATGGCGATTTTGTCTATTCGGATAGCCGTAGAAACCTGAGAAACGCCAAACTTGCTGAGAGGAGTCAATGTGGTTAGAAGAAAAAGAAGAGATATTAAGATCAATATCTCCCTTCCAAAATAGGACCGGGCCCCCTTTTTGGCCCACTGCATCCACCGAGAACATTCCATGAAAACCCAATTTAGATTTAATATCTTCCAGCTTATGAGTAACAAGTTTTGTTTCCATTAAAAATAAAAGTAACGACCGCTTGGAGTGGACTATGTCCACAAGAACTTGAACTGTCGCTAGGTTGCCAAGCCCACGACAGTTCCAAGCAATAAGACTCATTGTAATATGCGGGCCTGAGAAACTGGTCCCGCCTCCACCAAGTTTTTTGAGAGACTCGGGTCATTAGTTGTGAACAACTCCAAAGCTTGATTCTGGTATGAGGGTTCCGGGCCCTTCCTCTTCTTTCTCGTGTCAGGCCCAATAAGGGAGTCATTTTGGAGGCCGAAAGGCAGAGTGTTAGATGTAATGGATTGAAAAATTGGGCCAAGAATACCCGAACCATCTGAAGTGGGAGCCTTCAAAGGTCCAACATTAGCTGAGATGTAAAAGGGCATCTGATTCGCCTCAGAGGCAACATGTTGACTTCGAGGGTTGGCTCCAGCTGTGTATGAGGGAGTATTAAATGTGTGCTGCTTTTCATGACTAGCCCCTGCCATCTGGGAAAACATGTCTTCAGACTGAGCATTAGCCGTTGGATACTTGGATAAAGATTCTGTACAAATTCCATTTGTCCAGCGGGTACCTCGTACCTCGGATTTCCCGAAGGGTGTTTGTTTGAATCGGCCGTGGTGGACTCCTTTCTCTCCGACATGGTGTTCCGATCGGGACGTTGTGCAAATAGCCATCTATTTGCTTCAGAGTTTTGCCTCCTCCCCACTGCTCTGAGATCTGGCCCATATGCTCTATCCACATCCGTATCATTGGAATCAAAGTGTTTGATGCAGGACCTTTCACTATGTCCGATTATGCCGCAGAAAAAACAAAAGGTAGGAAGCCTTTCGTATTTGCACTATAAGGTTATGACCTCCCCGGAAGCGTTTTTTATCTTGATCCTTTGGCGAAGAGGTTTTGTAACATCCATAAGGACCCTTATCCTTATAAACTCGATCCATGTACCATCATAATATAACAGGTCAGCCTTGATAAAGCTCCCCAGTTGGGATCCGATGAACTCTATCATTTTGAGGTTTATGAGCCTTTTTGGTACCTTATGAACTTGGACCCAAAACTCAGCTTTAGAAAGATCAACATCATTTGGAGATATGTTTTCCTGGAGTTGTTGCAGGTTGAGAAGATGTTGATCAAAAAACCAGGGTCCCTCCTCCATAACTCTGCGAATATCCTTCTCGTGGAAGAACTGGAAGATGAACAGATTTGATGCTAGCTCCTTTGCCACCATTCCCATGACAGGACGCCATACCGTAGCCATAGTTTCCTTCAGAAAGTTAAATTTCACAGCTTTGTCTGTCAATAGTGTACCCACGAGTGTGAACACTCCATCATCATGGTCGTTCCAGGCTACGTCCTCGCCGAACGACATATCAACTTCAACATCATCTTGTATGCTCAATGCCTCATATTGTGTCTCCAATGGCTCTTTTCCACGACTGCTTGACGCCATGAGGTTGTGAAACAGGGACAGGAAGCGGTTTGGAGCGAGCAGAACCAAAGAGAGACAGAAGCAGGGTCTCTTTTTCGTACTGTAGCTTAGGCTTATTGTTCGCCAACACATTGAGTTCTGGTATATGTGTAGTGAAGGCCAGCTAACTTCATTAAATGTCATGAAAGAAGTAGGTGGAATAACTCATAAATGAAGAACAATCAATGCATGTAACAACCGGAAAAAACCGGAGAAACTTGTAAGAGTACAAGGTAGAGAAAGCTTGTCACCAAGAACAAGAGGAAGCAAAAACACCTGGAAAACCAGAGAGAAAAGGGTTCTAACTCTTAGATGATGCAAATGAGATAAATGAAAATATTGCTTGTTGTCACATGTTAGAAGAAGAACCAAAAACCTTTAAAGATGCAATCAGGCAATGAATTCTGTTTATTCCAACTTCTGGAACGAGGCCATTGATAGTGAATTATACTCTATTAAGTCTAATCATACATGGGAACTGGTACATCTACCTAAAGGTTTTAAACCAATTGGTTGGAAATGGATCTTTAAAAGTAAATTTAAAAAAAAAAAAGGGCTCTATTGTGAGGTCCAAAGTGAAGCTAGTAGCTAAAAGTTACACACAAATTTGAAGAGGACTTTTTATATACTTATTCTCCAGTAACTAAGATTTCTTCAATACTACCTTGCCTGCTTTAGTTTCTTCTCATAAGTTACTAGTACATCAAATGGATGTAAAAATATTGTTTTTAAATGGCGACTTAGAAGAAGAAATATATATGGAACAATCCCAATGGTGTGCTGCTTCGGCCTTCAAGTCAAGAACACAAGGTTTGGTCTGCAAATTGAAAAAGTCTTTGTATGGCATAAAGTAGGCTCTAAAGCAATGGTAGTTCTTTATTATTCTCTTAATCGATCATATGCTTGTGTATATGACTATATTCTAAAGTCATAGGCTCAAATTTTGTAATATTATGCCTATATGTTGATGATATGTTGATTTTCAACGCAAACATTAATGCCATAAACAAGACAAAAAGGCTCATGTCAACTATGTTTGACATGGAAGGTATGGGTGAAGCCAATGTTATCTAGGAGTTAAAGTCATGAAACATGACAAAGGATAATCTTGTCACAAAACCATTATGTTGAGAAACTATTGAAAAAAAATTAAAAAAAAATAATAGCTATGACGTGGCATCGTCTAGAATCCCATATGGTTCAGGTCTACAATTGAAGAAAAATATGAGATTATGTGTCTCAAGAAAAGTATGTTAAAATTTTTGGCAGTCTAATGTTCTTGACGGACTACACTAAAGTCTAAACTTGATATAGCCTATGTTTGAATAGACTATGTTGGTACACCCATAGCCTTAGTCTAGAGCATTAGAATGCTCTTAAACATTTACTGTGAGATCTTAAAGGTGCTATAAATTGGAGCTTAGACTATGTAGGGTTTCTTTCCATGCTAGAAGGTTATTGTGATGCAAATTGGGTAGCCCACAATAATGAAGCGAGTTTCACAATTAGGTATGTATTCACAATGTGTGGAGTAGTTATATCATGGAAATCAATTAAATAATCTTGCATAGCTCGATCCACTATAGAGTCAGAGTTCATAGCATTCAATCTAGCAAGACAAGAGGTAGAATGGCTATTAAGCCTATTAGTTGACAAATCATTATAAATTTCTAGGGGCATTAGGCTCCACCTATATCTGTGTATTGTGACTCACAAGCTATCATTTGTGTTGCAAAGAATAGTGTCTATAATGGAAAAAAAGAAGAAGACACGTACGAGTAAGACATGACTTTGTAATGAAACTAATTGTGAATGGTGTGATCACAATGGAGTATGTTAGGTTAGAAAGGAGTATTGTAAATCCTCTAACAAAAGGACTTAGCATACAACTAATGATTGATACCTTAAGGGAAACGAGATTGAGACCCACGAGGTAAGGAATTCATGATTGATACTAGTATTGGTTAAACAAAATCATGGAAAGACTCACATAGAAGTTCATAATGTTAGACATGTATGTCTAGGAACCAATATTTATTATTTGGGCATTGTATTCTAATTAAATAAATATAATAAATAAATATATTTCTGTATTTTATTTTGACTTAATTAAGATTTGATATTATTCTGTACAATCTTTTTAATTCTTCATTCTTAAGAGTTAAGAATATGAGTGACGAATACTTTATTAATGAAGTATATTATAAAAATGTTCCTAGACTAGCACATTGTCCTTCTTATGGTGAGTCTCATACCATACGTATGAGATACGAAGAGTGGACATGTGAATGATTGTTGGAGAACAAGTCATTGAACAATGATTGACTACAACGTACTGCATGGTGGTTACCTACATGTCATTGGTATGTTCTATGTTACGACTTACAAGTATGCAATAGTCCTTTGACTTGAGACGAGATGATTTTCTCGTACATATGGTGGACTAGCGTTTTCCAGTATGCGTCATTTGTTTCTTTATAAGGCTATAAGTGTACTTGGTGGCCTAATTCATTTTATACGGAGACATGTATGCACATTCAATAGACGATCCACCACATTGAGGTAACAAGGTTGTTCTAGTTTATTCAATAATCTTACAACAAGAATCTCTGGTCCGAGTATAATGAAGTTGGACTTCAGGTTAAGAATATTGAATAGATATTTTAAACCATGTTTATGGGTTTGACCAAGTTTGACCATGACCTGGTTCATCTTATCCATTGATCTTGTATTCAATATGGCTAGGATTTGTTGGGCTTTTTTTCCTTTTCTATTTTTTTGTGGGGGTTGTTTAGTAATTTGTTTGTGCATTTTAAATATGTTTAATTTTATTTTAGGATATTATGCATGATTTTAGGGATGGTTTTTAAGATTTACATAGATTCTTCATTTTTTATCTGGGTGTTTTCCGTCACATTCGTCACCAGAGTGCACATGAAGGCCATACAATGTGCAACAAACATCTTAAGATCAACATGTGCATGAAAATTAAACACACAATGATATTATCCGCGCACAAAAAAAAAAAATCAATTGCACACCTGCTCACACCCAAATACACACAATGATATCACCCGCGTTCATATTGCTCACAAGGGCACCAGTATGTGCAAAAGAATTATATTGCATAGTGTGTGCTCGCTTGCTAAGTGCCACATGCACACGAGGATCTCCAACCATGGATACAAACTCATCCAACAAGAATCCAGACGCACATTCAAGTAAAGAACGAATCTAAACAAGAAAAAAAAAAAAAAAAAAAAAAAAAAAAAAAAAAAAAAAAAAAAACCACGCATTAAGATTTTACCAGCGTGAATCACCAGGTGCACGATAATACAATTGCAAACTGCACAAATCCTCACACCCACATGCACAAGTGGATCCCCCGCTCACATTGCACACAAGGGCACCACCACGAATTGTACTGCACAATATGTGCACATCTGTTCACACGGACATGCACACAATGTGGTCTATGTGACATTCTCATCGGCACCGCTACACTTATAGAGTATATAGAATTCATTCATGCTGAGTTTATATAGAAGTAGCAACAAATATGCACAGATTTGTAAACAAATTGAAATATATTGCATACCGTTCACCGATTGTAATGGTAGCTTGCTGATAACGTGTTGTT